CTTCAACACAGACCATCAAACACAGCTGCTGTATCAGGCCTCTGCGATGATGACTGAGTCCAGGTAACACACACGTCCTCCCAGAACCTGACTCCAGACAGCTGTCTCCATTAGCTGAAAATATTGTTGAAATATCCTCAATCTCTGTTCAGATACGCTCTGCTGATAGTAGACAGCGCTACTGCACTGTACAGGACAGATTACTCCGGGCGAGGAGAGCTGTCTGCCCGTCAGGGGCATCTGGGTCGGTTTTTACGCATGCTGCTCCGTCTCGCTGATGAGGTAAAGCACGAGAGATCACACACATGCTGTTTTATGATCTGATTGGGTCATAAGTTTACAAACTCTTTTGTTATTAAAACATATTATAATTTCAAATTAAATACTATTATTGAATTATTATGAAGCTGCATTATAGTTCACAAGACAAAATAAAAAACAAGTTTAGTAAAATGTAATAAAGAAACTTTTTTTTTTAAGGCAGCTTTTCTTTAAATATAGTTGAAAGTTTATTGGCTGATCTCGTGTGAACCGTCCGATGGAATTTTAACTCTATTGGCAAATTTTTTTTTTTTTTTTTTTTTTTTTTACTGCAATGTTTTTGCTTTTAAAAATGCATTTTATATGTTGTCTTAAATTAAATATTTAATAACTTTTACTGAATGAAAAATAAATTTAGATGTCTATTTGACTTTTTCTTACAGCTTTGCTTTTAAACATAATACACTTTTTAAATGTTTAAATTTTCCCCCCAATTTATTTGTACATTTTTCCACATTGCAGTTTCCCAACATTTCAGAATAAGGTTCTTGATTTTTAAGTATTTAGATTTTTATTGTTGAATAAATTAATAAATGATTTCCACATGAAGGATTCTTGGTCAGTGTTGTTTTAGTGTCACTGAGATACTATGATAGATGTTATTATTTATCAATATTGTGTATTAAGCTTTTATTTTTGTTTTTCACTTTCATTTTAATTTTCATGTTTTAATAATTTTGTTGCGTTTGTCATTTTTATTCGTTTTTGTTTTAAATATGTCCATATCATTTTTATTAATTTTTGATTGAGTTATTTTAGTAGTTAAACTAAATAAAAATGAGAAATGTTGCTTTGGCAGCTAGCCAAATGTATAAAATACATTTTTTAAAATTCATTATTTATTAACAATTAACTTTTTCTTGTTTATTACTGTAAAGCTTTAAAACTAAATATATAAAACGCTATATAAATGTGACTTGACTATATATGATGTGTGTGTATATACATATAATGTGAGATCATAGAAATATGTCTTATGTTTTTAAATCTGGTTTGTAGTTTGGTGTGGCTGTGGTCATCAGTAACCAGGTGGTAGCACAGGTGGACGGAGCAGCCATGTTTTCAGCAGATCCCAAGAAGCCGATTGGAGGAAATATTCTAGCACACGCCTCGACTACTCGGTGACACTTGATGATTGTGGTGCCGATTGATGCTCTCATACTCTATAGATCAATATCTCAAATCAATTCTCTGTCTCTTGTAGATTATACCTGCGGAAAGGTCGAGGAGAGACGCGGATATGCAAGATCTATGATTCTCCATGTTTGCCTGAGGCAGAGGCAATGTTTGCCATTAATGCTGATGGAGTGGGTGATGCTAAAGACTGAAATGAGACCGAACAGAGAACCTGTGTGAGACCATCAGCCAGAGAAAAGACTCCTGTAAAATGATTGAAATGTGGACACATTGTTTAGTCTGGAATTATTCGGAAAGAGAATGAACCCTTCAGAGGGAAATTCATGGTTTATTTAAATATATGCAGATTGATGGATATTCACGGATCTGGATGAGCTGGTGTAATTATTTGCTCTTTACGGTGATGTCCGCCTCTTTACTATTTGTTTACATATTATATTTGTTTGTTTTGTCTGGACTAAACCTTTTTCTTGTACATAAACTACTCGGAATTAAAGTGTTTTGTCTGTTAAACTAATAAGAGTGCATTTTGTGTGTATACCGTCCGTTAAAACCATTGAAGTAGATCGAGAAAAACGGCAAAATACTGAGACACTTAGAATTTTATTGTCATATTTCAGGAATTCACTTAATGTCAAAAAAATCAAACATCAGGCATTTTGTAATTGATTAATTTCACAGCATGTTTAAACATAAAAATTAGGAATGTTACCTTCATCTTTTTTAAGGAATGAAACCGTGTTTTGTGACGGCGATATGTGAACAGCAGTAAACTATTTTAATATATAATGTTTCGATTTTTTTTCAGATTACTGAAAGAAAAATATACATTTTAATAATGCACATCCATTGCAAACAACATTAAATAAATAAAACGGTGCACATATCAGGTGAAATGTAAAATGATTAAATGAGTTTTCATTAATTATTCATACTGCTTATAGGTCACTTTTGCTGTCAATCAAAGCCTTCAGCTCCTCCTGTAAAGCAGCGCTGTCAGATTCCTGAAGAAACAACCATTCATCTGAGATTCAAAGCTTCAAATCAGCAATACTAGTGAAACCGAAGAGCACAAATTCACCTCATTTGCTCCTGCTGGTGTGCTCAGAGCTAAATGGACCCAATTTCTGGCCTCTGACACGTTTCCGAGCTCCTTATGACACTGCAAACAAATGCATCATTTTCCAATAAGAAGTTTATTAATATTTTTGTGTGAACTGTTCCTTTAAGGCAAGATACTGCAGGCAAACCCATTGTTTTGTGTACTTTTGCGACTTTGGAGCCCCCTATAGTTAAAGGTGCAGTGTGTAAGTTTTTGACTCCACTAAAGCATAAAAAATACCATAATATGTTTGCAGATATTTAAGA